TTATAATACATACAGTTGTGAAGCTAGTGTGATTGAATGACACTGATCTACATCTGCAGAATTTATAATCAGATTAACCTATTCTAAAGGGAAATACTCATAGTTCTTCCGTGTTGGACACATACATTTATTTTAACAAATAATATCCAAATTCCCAAAAAAAGCTATGCAAAAATCATATAAATAAAATGCCTTCTATGCTTCTGCTGTAAAATGTCCAGAGAGCTTTTTGTTGTTAAACTGATTAAACCTCTCAAGTCTTTTGCTAGTCCACTTTTTCCTGGCCATTCTTTGAACAGGTTCTCTTTATCAAATTATAAATGAAGAGGCCATATTTATTCAAATTCTTACTGATAATGTTTATTGGTAACTACCAGGGCCTTAATACCCTCTAGAATATTCCTCTGTTTTTACAGGCTGGAAGTAGTTGCAGTTCTTAAACACTTTCCTATTTTTGTTTCTTATGGAAAGCAACTTTCTATTAAAAAGAAAAAAAAAAAAAAGAAAAAGAAAAAAGAGGAGGATCTCATTTCTTGTTCTGTTATGAGGTAAGCCTGACAGTGAGCAGAATGTACTCTAAAAGGCTGCATTGTATTATTGATGTTCAAATACTAGATTTCTACAGCTTGATCTGATACAACAAAGAATTAACATTTAAAAAAATACTACGTGAGTTAATGACTTTTTAAACTCAAGATACAAGGTACATGTATAGGTTCAAGTAATGCCTTCAAAATGGACAACAGTTACATGGCTCAAAGGTAAATTAAATAGATTATGAGGATTGCACTGGTTACTGAAAAGGAGATAAAAAGAAAACTGCTGGATAAAAGGAAATCCTTTTAGAAACATAAATTGCAAACAGACAGAAAAGACAATTACATGGCTTTAAAAATTGGTTTGTGAGGCACAAAATGGACATTATCTCCTTTCTTGAGATCTATCAAAAACTGCCTTTACAGGAGCATTCTCCAAACTCATAGACCACAGTGTAGCTGTGAAGATACAAGACACAAGCTACCAGAGGCAGAATTTCTGCGGTCCTTGAGACTGAGCCTGAGCAAGAGGAAACCTGGTAATGTGGAGGAGGGAGTGTGGGAGCATACATGTAAGGTGCTATTTATGTTTCTGTTGTGGTTTAAGGTTTTTTTTTTATGTACAGGTCATTTTTCACAAAGTTTGATCCATATATCGTGCTTATCACATTTCATTTTTACCAGATTTATTAATTCCTAATAAAAAATTTGTAGCCACAAAGAATTGTAGTAACATTGGTTTTATTTGTGAATTTTATGCAGGCAATCCTGTACAGGTGACTCAAACTTATATTTCTTCTTAAAGAACCTACTGCATGCAAGGCTACCAAGAGAACACAGCCTATTGGCTACTTTCCTACAAGTGTGTTGTTGTGGTAAGGGCTTAGTCTGAATAGTTCATTTTTTTAATCTGATGACCACGGAGGAAATAAATAGAGGAAATATAGGTGCATGATAGAAAGCAATTAAGTGATTTTTATATATTTGAGACAGAATAATTTTTCTCACACAAGAAGCCTGAAATCGCTTTGTCTTTCAAAACTCCAAGAAAAGGGAAAGGTTACTGTTTTCCCTAGGTCTAATTATTTGTATCTTGTAAGGAGGAGGAAATTAAGTATTAAGGTTTTAGTTACATCTTTTTTAGATCAAGAAAAAACATGGATTAAAAAGCACTGTGGGGCTTAAATCTATACCAAAACTGAAAGAAAAAATATCTGTACCTATTGGATTATTTTTGCTTTTGCATAACAACAACAAAAAGCTTAGATGGGAAGCTAAAGCAGTTTGTGTCTTTTTAAATAGATATTGGTGATCGGGTATTTAGCTGGTCATGGACTGAAGAGAGGGTTTTTTGTTATAGAAGTCTATGCAGTAATACTAGAAGCTGAGGCTAATAATGAAGAAAAATAATTTCTATTAAAATATTTTTTAAATGTCATATTCACATTTTATACTCCAGTGCAAGAATTGGTTAGAATTACCCAGTTTTATGGCTTCTGCCTCAAATAGAGATGGCAATAATCACAGGTCACTCACTTTCCATTCAGTTAAAGAGCAAGATTCTAACAGAGTTGTTATCCTTTTGTCTTCTCCAATGACTCTTTGAAGAAATAGAAGGATAAAAATGTTTCATGATTGGAAGCATGAAAAGGGGTGAGTAATAATCCCTCTGCACATCCTCATAAAGATTACTCTTCTGTCCGGACTTTGATAATTTGTGCTGAATCTCTTCAACAAGAGAATTCTTCAGCATGGGCAAAAGTAGTGAGTAAAATACTTGGTGGTATAATACTTTTCTAGTCTGATTAGTCAATGTAGCTGTTTAGTAGTGCTTTGATGCTGTTACCTTGCAGAAAAAATGTTACTAAAGCAAGTAATTGTAATTCTGAATTAAAAACTAGCTTATTTTTCATTGTGGAACATAACAAGTACTCACTCCTTTGTTCTTTTTTGTTCACAATTTATACCTTTTGTTAATCTGGAATCCCGGAGTTCAGGGAAGCCCAGTCATGTTCAGCATACTGGAAAGACATTAGGAGTGGTAAATGCTTGGGGGTTTTGCAGAAGTGTCTTGTGATACCTTCTATTCTCAGCATAGGTTAAAATTAGAACTAGACTGACATTGCATTGGAGTCTGAGTGAGAGTTCTAAATGGTTTTGGTGGTACAGACAAGATTCATAATTTCTCTCTGCTCTTGCCCAGAAAGCAGTAAGTCACAGAAAATCCTTGAAAACACTGAATAGTTGAGGTAAGCTGCTGTTAAACTCTTTCGGATACTTGGAGGTGAAATTGTTGGGAGATCTGGTTACTTGGGAGTAAATTTGCAGTTGTTTTACAGCCATGCTTGGGAATTCACTTCTGAATTGTTGGCTGTGGTAACATGATTATAATGGGTTTTATTTTCCTGAAAAATAGTAAGTTCTAAGAATAAGAAGCTTTAGATGGCAGTCCTTTTATTATATAATGAAATCTTGAAAACAAAGTGTTATACTTCTTATACTTCATGATTCTAAAGCCATACTTATTTATTAATACACTTTCCACAGAGAAAGCGAGTTGCCCAGTGTAAGCTTTACTAAAAATAAGTATTGTTTCAACTGTATAGTCTGATACTGGTTTTTGTAGTACAAGTATTAACAAATATCTCTTTTGTGCATCATTTACATAAAAAGTTTTCTAGTTTTCTACCTAAAAATGCTTATAGGTTAAAAAATATCTCTAAACAACAAGGAATTATAGATCCGGTGAATAATTTATTCTCACTAGAGGCTTAATCCTGAAAAATAAAGTAATTTCAGTTGTAACTGCTAATCACAGCAAAACCCTCATACAATGTCCTAGTCATTACTTTGGCATATTGGGATGAGGAATGGGAAAGGTAATTACTATAAGGACCACTGAAAGAGAAGTTAATCCTTCAAACTAACAAATGTGATCACATTTATGTGGGGGAGGGAAACAGGATACAATCCTCTCTTGACAGGAAAAAATACAATGCCTCTTTAGGAACCCAGATGCCAGTCTGCATCATGCCACACCGTGGTTGCCATTTGTGTTGCTCATCAAACCCTGCCATTTTTCCTTAGTAAACAGAGACCAGTTAAGAATCCTAAATACTAATGTATCGGACCAGATTATTCAAGCATTATCATTTAATTTTTATGCTGCCTTTACAACAGGAAGCAATCTTGACAATTTACATTTCTTATTGGCCTATACATTTCAGGCTTTACAAATGACCATGTCTTTTGCTAACATATTTAACATAAAATAGAATAATTGACAGTTTGAACACAAAAATGTTGAAGCAGTTTGGGCTTATGTGTGCCACACCAAATTACAGTGGCAAAAAAACATGACAGAAAAGATTGTTCTAAAAGACAGACCAACAGCAATTATTGTAGGGAATTCTATGTATGAAAAGACACAAAATTCCACTATTGTTATCTACCTGCTTGGAAGAAAGTTATCCTCACTGTTTTAGTTTAAATACCTATGTAAGATGCTTTTCTTACTTTTCCCTGAAAGTATTAGTAAAATGTTTGGAAGGGAGCATTCAGATCATCAGCGTTTAGAGTGTTTAGCTGTTGACGTGAAGTTTAGTTCTCCAGGCTTATCTGAGTATCAGTATCTTGGCTCCAGTTTAAGAAAAACCCACCTTCCTCAAATGACTCCAGTTATGGCAATAATGCTTCTTAGAGGGATGCACTGATTAGGATAACCGAGTATCCTAATTTGCTGCTTTTCAGGAAAATGTATTAATTATTTCACTAAGGAATAGATGACTTCAAAACCTTAGGCTGCATTTTTTTTTCAAATGTGGATCCTGATGCTCAGCAGGGCTATAAGATTCAGAGAGGAATCTGAAGAACTTAAAAAGCTTTTTCTTAAAGGTAATTACTAAGTATAAAATATATGATAAGTTCAAGTGAAGAAAATGAATGCAGATAAATTATACTAATTTATTTCCAGCAACGGTTCAGGTTCTCTAAAGTGCAAAACTCCCTTAGTTACATGTATTTATACCAGGTAACTGCCAGGATGCAGCTACCAGGATTTAACTGCCTTAAATTGAAGGTAACAGGTTAATTTTTTTCCTGGGAAGGAAATGAATGCTTATACCTGCATTTAATAATTATGGTCAGTTCTGAGCCTACCATTGGAAGGAACTGAGAGAAGCAGTTGTTTACTGACTAAGAATGCAGAGAGACTTCAAGAATGCCATTTCTCCATTATAAGAAAACTTAAATAGGTGAGATTGTCGATTTTTATAAAGAAAAAGTAGTTGATGAAATTCTGTCAGTTCTCTAGATTAACTAAATTTAATAGTATAATCAAGTGGGTATTTCACTATTTTAATTTTCACATCACTGTCCCCCTCTGGTAGCTGATACGTACACTGATGCATTGAGTCTGGAAGTCCCAGGTGGATTGCTGTGACTGAACCTGAACATGTGAGGATCATGACTGAAACAGCAGTTTGTCTTGGAACATTCAATGCTGTGAAGACACTTTGGGAGGTGAGAATACACAAGATAAATGAAGAACTGAAGAAAGAGAAGGAATTCAGACAGAGGTCTGCAGGAAGGTAGGTGAATTTTACATCTTTAAGTATGTGAAAGGCTAGGCTATACGTTACCTTTCAGAAGACTATAACTGGTCTTTTCATATTCATCCAGAATCTAATCCTTGGTTGGACTTGGTGATCTCAAAGTTTTTTTCCAATCTTAATGATTCTATTCTTAATGCTTTAATCATTATTCCAGCAGAATTCTCACCGATTAGAACCTAGCAAAATGGTCAGGTCAAACGAAGAACTGTGTTGTGTGATAAAAATACTAGCATATATCCTAAATCCCCTAAGTTCAGATATCAAAATCCTCTCTAAACAATGGAGAGTTGTTATGCTTTCTTCTTAATGGGGGCATTAACCAAGATGCTTGGTCTTCTGTTTGGCCAGGAAGTTAATGAAATGTGAAGGAATTTAGCATTCTATTTTTGTAACTCTTCCTAATTTGTCCACTGTGTTTGAAAAGGAATAGAAAATTCAAAAGTTACTAATGGAAAATACAGCAGACAGGGAATTATCCTAATTTTCATAATTCTTGTTTAAGTCCCCTTTAGAAATTGAGCTAAAAATCCCTAACTAATTGACCTTGTTTGATTGCACTTACTTTTAGTGGACCTGAAGGCTTTCTTTTTAGGATGCTGCTTCAAAATTAAAGGCTTTGGAACTGAATTCCACAGGACTTTATATTCTGTTGCCCTGCTGCAACATGACGAAAGTGAATGAACTTATGTCTTCCTTATGACTGAAAATTTGAAAACTGTAAAATAGAGTTCCTATAAATTACCTCAGCCAAACATCACCTTATGTTCTTGTCTTCCCTCTAGTTGATAGTATATTTAGCATCCAGATACAATAAATGTTGACACCCAGAAAGGCTACTGTCTCTTTGTTCCAGAAAACTTAACAGAGACTAAATATTGCCTATATTCATTGCCACACCACTGACAGGTCTTCTTTCCCCTGTAGGTTACTACTTGTCTGGGAGGAGAGAGCTGCTTTAGCAAAGCTCAAAGAAAAAGTCATCAATGAAGGTGGAAGAGCAATTTTAAGGATAGAAGAAGAAGAATGGAAGGTAGTGTTGATAGGAATTAATGTTGCTTGGGTTGAGTGACTGGTACATTAGAAAAGTACTGTTTACACCTTTACACTTACAGTTGTACTATTTTTAATTTGTAAAGTGCTCACTGTGTGCTTTGCTAGCAATGAATTGAGACACATTGTCGTGAAAATGTAAAAGCAAGCTGATTTTTAGTCCTGAAAATTATGCATTACTTCGCAAAAATATAGCCCAGAAGGCTTTTCTGCATTAGAAATTATTTATGTTGCAAATTCTGAGTGCAATTAATGTAAATCCTCATTTAACATTAACAGACCAGAGCTACTTAAATGTATCTAGGTGAAAACCCCCTGTGTTTAGGTGCACGAAAAGATTTCTTACTGCTGTTTGCTTTGTCTTTATAAGAGTGAAAATAAGCCAGTAGACGCCCAGAATACTATTGTTCATGTTTCTAACGCCCGGGGGGAAGCAGGTAAGTGTGGAATCAACAACAGAGTGGACACGAGCAGTCTGTTCTGAGCCACATAGAAACACAGATGCCAGTTCCTAGGAAGTGATGAGAATTCAACCACATTGAGGCCACAGAGTGACAGCCACACTCAGCAATACTCTGGTGGTCCATAGGCAAGTGTTCCTGGTTCAGAACTCAGAGCATACAGATGGTGCATTTTTTTCTGACCACGTTAAATCTGTGGTCAGGACGACCGTGCATTGGTGATGTTCATTTCAAGGTGTTACAGTATAGCTTGTAAAGAAGGAGATATTTATTTATTTTTTCCTTTTTCTTTTTCATCACAGGACTGTTACTGGTTCAAATAAAACTTTCACTTAAGCCTGTATTCTTGCATACTAAGCTGAATTTCTTCTGGTTCATATTTCTTGTCTTAGACACTACCTTCGTGCTTATTGAAACTAGTCCACCTACAGGAATGGCAGCTTCATAGAACTAGTTTGCAGCAAATTCCTCAATTCATTGGAAGATTTCACAACCTTGTTGTTCTGGATCTATCCCGGAACTCAATTGAAAGTGTACCTAAAGAAATCGGTGAGCTGCTTTCTTTTATTTTAACCTGCTTTTCTAAGAAAATTAATTTTACAATCATACCATTTTTGTGCACTTTGCCTGTCTAACAATCTATTGAGTAGTTAGAAAGCAGACAACTTAAATCTGACAGTGAGATAGAGATCTTAAGCCCCTAGATTCCCTATAGATATTTTTAAAATGGCTGAATGGAGGACACATATCTTTATGAAAAAGAGTGAAAGCACAGCAGATACTAGATATCAGAAAGCAGCTGTAAGAGTGATACTGAAAACCAGGCAGTGTGAGTAGCCTATGTTCTTAAGGGTTATTTTGGAGATTTGTGTCTGTTTTTTTTTTTTTGGTAGCACCCAACAAGCGTGCATTTCTGTACTGAAGAGTCCTGAAGTCTTACTGTTTGAATTTCAGAGAATCCTTTTTTTTTCAGTGAGAACAAAGAGCACTTGTTTTGTGTTATCCTTATACTATTATACAAGTAATATTGTATTTCAAGCAGAATGATTGTGATCATTTATCATTTTGTATTTGTGCTCTCTGCAGGCCAGCTGACTAGCCTGCAAGAGCTTCTCCTCAGTTACAATAGAATAAAGTCTGTTCCCAAGGAAATAAGTAACTGCGTCAGTCTAGAAAGATTGGAACTGGCTGTCAACAGAAGCATCTGTGATCTTCCTCCTCAGGTGTTGACACTGTTTTGTTTAGTTTTGTTTAATGCATATTTTGAATTTATCCAAAACTAATTATCATTAAACGTTGCACTCTGTGTTCATATTTGCTTTGATATTCTGATTTCACAACTACTCCACAGAAGCACATGTGTGAGCGTGTTTATATGAATAGTCAAACTGAAGCCACGTGGGAAGGACAAAGATGTAACTGAATAGTTGGAGGAGCCAATCATTACTTTAGAATCATAGAATCATTTAGGTTGGAAGGGACCTACAAGATCATCAAGTCCACTGAGCCACCAGGGCTCCAAAGTCCTCTGCCAAAACAGATCAGAATCTGTCAGGGTTGGAAGGGACCACAAGGATCTCCCAGTTCCAACCCCTCTGCCATGAGCAGGGACACCTCCCATTAGATCAGGCTGCCCAGAGCCTACTTTGTCCAGATAAATTACTTGGTTTGTGCAGGCAGGACAGTGATACATTTGATGTTAATTTGTTTAGGCTGAAGGTCTTCACTGACCCACTGAGGATCTAACACCTTAGCACAGAGAAGTTCCCTTTTGTGGTTGAGAAAACAAATTCATTCCATAGGCCAGGACACAACTGTAACCATCTTTACCAGAGCTGCTAGGTATAACTGGGACTGACCTAAATGTGAGAGACTTGCATCTTCAAGTATTAGTCTTTTAGGTAGAGATGACAAGTATGTAACTGCGTATTTGATTGTTTTAATTAATTTAAAAAACAGTAGTGGCAGTAGCTGACAGCTGCCAGTGCCTTGCAAAACTGAGTCCAAACAGTAATAGCTAACAACATATCCTCAAATGAAAATGTACATTTTTCATCAGAACCCAGAATTCACAAAATCTATGTGGCTACAGGTTACATGGTGTAATGTAGAGTGACAGCTTTTAAACTAACAGCTCGTAGCAAATACACAGCTCTGTGCTATTGAGACTACGGTGATGTGAACACTGTGAAGCTTTGGTTACATGTACTTGAGTGGCATTCAGTGTTCAGACAGCTGGACCAGATTTGCAATAAAACATCTTTGCTTCACTTGAACATTGTAAAAGCACCTGAAGACATGAATCAAAGGACTTGGGTGTTGCCACACTGAATGATGCTAGCTTAATTTTTAGAATGTCTTACCATAGTAGCAGACGTCACAACACAGAAGCTGTCTAGGTTGATTCTAATACAGTCCATGCAACTTGATTCATTAAAAAAAAATCTAAATATTTGACTAATGAAAAAACAATATATTGCACAGGCTGGGCAGAGACTGGCTGGAGA